ACCTAACTGACTAGGTACATTAATTATTATATTATGAATATGTACCTACAAAATACAAATATATGTGACATTTGCATTAAAACACACGCAAGGCGCAAGCACAACACATGCATATATTCATACCTATATAGTATATGGGCTATATGTAATATTGATTGAATTGAATTGAGTTGAGTCGTGAGTTGAATCATTCCCTGAATCACTGATAACGGGATGAGTCGTGATTGAGTTGAATCACAAGGTCAATGAGTTGTGATTGAGTCACTTAGAAATTCAGACTGTTCGATTGAGTTTCGATTGAATCGGTCATTTCATCAAGTGAGTCGTGATTGAATTGATTGAGTTTTTTTTAATCGCTTACAAGTCTGCTTCCAAGACTGTCTGGCAAAAAAATTCCCAGGAATTTGTCACTGAAAGGGTGGCGAACTACTTGGCAATAAAATAACTCAGGATATGTCATGAAGCCAGCATAATTTCCCTTCCTAGAAAACGCAATCATCAGAATCCGTTTTTTAGATGCTCATGCCCGTTAGTGACATCGTCTCTACAATCTACATTTACGCTATTAAATTGAATACAAATATATGAACCGCGATTAATACCCATCATTTTTTTTTTATTCTGCAAGCAATTGTAAAGCCATTTGGAAATAAGCCGGTCTAATGGTGCCTCGCCACGGTACCAACTAAGGCAGATACTGCGATAAAATCATCATCTGCAACGGAAATTGTCACATTGGTATCGGTAACCGATCGTCGCCAATCAACAAAGGATTGCGGCCACAAAGCCGCAAAACGGCACCAGCAGTTCGTCATTCGGAACAAAAACGGACAGCAAAGTCTTAATACCTACTGAGAATGGATGGCACCAATTGTCCTCAACTCATTGTTCCACGGCGTACGAAAAGTGGACTTCACTCACAGCGCGCTGAAGGCATACCATGACGACGTATAGGTAAATCATGCGGGCATAGGAAAAGGCCTTGACAAAGCATTATCGGTGCTGGTCGCACACCGGAAAAGATGTGCACACTGGCCCATCACCAATAAAGCGCACTAATTTATTAGCGTCCTGTCGTGCGCGACACCACTAAAACACCGTTCGACCGCTGCCATTGTAACCGTTCCTGTCCGTGCTATCGTGTAACCCCATAAATAGTCGGATCACTCGAGTGACAGTCTGTAGTGGGAGCGATTTGAACGCGATGTCTGAGAGGTATCGAGGAGCCGATTTGTCCAGTCTCTCACAGCGCGGTGCGCGAGGGAGGCGTGCCGGTTTGGTTCACCGGCACAGAACACATCCTACCACAATTTAGTAGTGCACGAGCGAGCGATGATGACGAGAACTAGGGACGGTGAGACGGAGCCACGATACGGAGCAGAAGTGGACAGGTTGCAGCTGTCTTTGGGACACCAACTGCGCTGTCAGCTAAACCCTTCACTACTCAGCATCGCACGGACCCGATCTATTCAACACGGCGCGGTCCGATCACACGACGCGACGCCCGATTAGCGAAACCCGCGACTGATCTGGCCTATAAACGGATCCATCATTCATGAGCGAAAAACGCATTCGCGCCGGCACCCACCGCCAGTGGGCATGGCGGCGGGTGCGGGCCACGGCCTTGGTGCCAGGTCATCGAAGACCATCGCTTATTTATATACAGATGTGCGACTGCGGCGGCCCGCGGCGGGGACAGGCATATCGCTCGACGTCAGGTCTGGTGTTACACAATTAAAAACCGCAGAATTGTTGGTAAAAGCAGAGGCATGCATCTGGTTAAAATCACTCAGCTGAATGCATATCCAGTCAGATTACAACAGATATTCATGAACAGCATAACGATTAGCACTGGACATTTCTTTTCACTACATTCGATCATTGCGAATTAGGTACCTACGTAGTACGTAGTGCAACAGGATAAGCCATAGGTATTATTGGCAACGTCAGTTTGCATTGTATTTGGCGTGCTTTCAATCGAGCCGTGTGACCAATTATGCCCTAAAATATTGACAAAGTCTGAGTATTGATGCTCACCATATTTCTACAAGTATTAGCCCCATTTAAATCCATTTACGTTCCAGGGCAATTCATTTGTCCACATCGATCAATTATAAATGCTAATACCGAACCCACCAAAAACTGAAAGTGAAAAGTCCACATTTATCTCGGCAGGGACCGTAACGTTTTCATTCGGTAATTGCTCCGAGTTCATTAGTTCAAGGCAGCCATGAGGTCTCTTTGAAACGGATGAATAAAATCTGCGCTGAGAAATGACTTCACATTTCACAAAGAGCGATTACAGTGGTATAACACAAGGCACAATCGCTGCCAGGTGCTATGAGCGGGCGCACAAACGATGACAAATCCTCCGTTGTATAATTCGGGCCGACTGCTCAGGGGCTCGGCACCTGTTAGCGGGGCACCACATGGTGGAGACATCTCATCAGCCCGCTCGACAGCCACGCCATTTATTATCGTTGCGCACTGGGGCTCCGCGAGGCACGCGCTCAACACTCGCTCCCGGCGTCTATGAATGGAGACGGAGCTCGGCGCCGACACGGCTATCAAAACCGGTTCAGACGGGTACATCTCACGCACATATCCCCAGCGGCGGTGGTCAGTCGTTTAAAGGCCCGGTTCATACCGTATCCGGCAGCGTGCCGCGCTCGGCCCGTCAGCTGACGGCTCGCGCCGCGGGCTGCGGCGCGGCGGCCGCGACCACCGCGGCCTTGCGGTCAGTGAGACGCGCACGGTGAGAAAGTCGGCCACCGCCAGCACCTCGGCATGCAGCGGCCCATCCCCGGCCCGGCCAACACCTGCCCGCTGCCTCCGACTGCCGGCGCTCCCAGCCCAACCCGACCAACTGGCCACGAGCTCCGCGCAAGCCTTGTGCCGCCCGGCGCGGCGGTGGGGAGGCCTTGTATGACGTTCAACAGTGAGCAACTTGACACGACACCGACCACAAGCGGCTTTAGTTAAGCAGCTTGAGGGAGGTCACTCACCGAAGCGCGAAAGAAATGAACAAGGTGCTCGAGATGAAAGAGGCGAACAAGGCACAGGGATTTGATACCGAGAACGGCGGTTTCTGGGCCGCATACAGTACTACATATCACGAAAGTATACAGTTCGTACGGGATACGGCTTTTAGAAACACGAGTCAGCGCTGCGTTGACGTCGGATAGGCGTGGTGCCAAAGGACCCGAATTATTCGACTCCCAGGTAATCACAATTCACGCAGGGCGCAAAACGGGACAATCATAAACAGGAGCCTATGTAAGACAGTTTCGAGCCGCTATGATAGGCACAGCAGCCATTTGATGGAACCAGCAGCAGCCGGGCTGTCAGCCGGGTCCATCAGCTTCTCAGCAGTGACGGCCAGCCCACCCGGCCGGCTACCCAGGCGTCTCAGATCAGCGCCGCTCCCCTCCAGTGGTAGAAATAAAGCTAGGCGGCTCGTCCGTCCACCCAGGACCGGCTCTCTTCTCCCCCGGGGAGAAAGACAGCCTCTCGTCTTCCCTATCCCGCGGGCTGGAGAAGGAAGGCCGGTCCTGGGAGTTGAGAGCCGGCGGTGCGCGCGCGACACCACCCTCAGCACACTATTAGCGCCTCATCTCTGGGCAGCGAAAGTCGGCCCGGGGTCGGCCGCCAAACGCGATTGGGGCTCGAACTTAGTCTCGCTAGGTTCCCCGCGCTGTTATTTTTACGACTGTTCCAGTCACTTTCACACTGCCCGGGTTAATTGCTGGGGCTCGGTAGCTGCGGGATTGTAGTAGGAAATCAGTGGGCAAAATCGTTTACAACATCGACTTAAGAAACTGGAAATGTCAATGTGATCTAATGTGTGTACACAGAAAGTGAAATTCTGTCCTTGTTTGGTGTACTTACACTGTACACAAGCGAAACTGCGCTTGCAAACACGTCCGCTTAAAAGTGAAATTACTCACCTTGGGTATGTACAGTTTCTATACGTGATGGGTTTAAATACAGCTCGGCAAATGTGAATGGTGCAATCGGCGGTGACCTCAGGAGTGACAGTAGGCTCTCTTATGACTGCGGCTGTGCTGATTATGATGTCCCGGCCCCTGGCACTGCCTCAGAGCTCATACGCCATATTTGTCGGCACCATTGTCGGCACGTTGCCGGCTCATCTGTTTGACCGAGTGTGATTGAGTTCACTAAGATGGCCATTTACGTCACATCACGTTCGATCGGCGGCGCGGTCTCTGAGTCAGAGGATCGCCGCGGTCGGTCGCGGACCTTGGCTGGCCGCCCCGAAGGTCGGCTCTCAGTTTCGACAGCCACCCACGCTGATATTAGTGGCCAAACACTGCGGGCGGGGCCGGGATATTCCGAAATCGACGGCGACTCCCCGCGCCGGAAGCGTCGCTGAGGGCTCTCGGTTCCACGGCCCGATGCCTGCAGCTAATCAGCCTCTCTGACCGGCCGTGAGCGCACGGAGAGCTGAGCTGAGCTCAGAGGCACTGCAGTTCACCGCGCTGAGGTCAGCCGCTCAGAGATCAGCGGCTGATGCTGAGGTCAGCGCGTGCACCTGGGAACTTTCTTCCTGAGGAGCTGCCGTCGGCCGCACGTCACACCTGACCGTGACGTGGTGATCTAACGCCTGCCTCGCGCACGTATCACCGATAGCGTAACGCCGTGTGCATGAACGTTTTGCTCACTGTGTGGTGGGAAACAGAAGACGTCACAGAGGTCCTGATATGCAGAGTGGCCAACACAGAAAGACAGCCGACACAGGCTCAGTAGATCAGCCAAACGACTGGCGTGGATCGCTGAGAGATGGAGCGCCCAACAGCAGAGATCCACCGCCTCGGCAGCAGTGTCCCCGACGCAAAAGTGAGCCGTGTCCCCATCACTGGGCCATGCTCCAGTGTTCCGGCGGGAGGTGCTCATCTCTCCGGAGGCAAACTGTGCTCCGGTGCTCACAGTGCGATGTGTTCCTCGTGAGCTGATTCGTCACGGATGCCGTGGGTACTCACCGGTCCGCTGAAGTAAGCTGGCAACACACACCGCTGGTCGTCCAGCCGGCTGTTCTGCAGGCGCGCCAACAGCTCGATAAAGTCCTGCGGATCGCTCTGAAACATCACAGAAACATAGTGTCAATGTAGGATCACAGCAATTGCAGGCGAGTCCTAAACGCTTCAATCACGCAACTAATGCGCGAAAACATAGGCAGTCCGGTTTGAGCTCGTCTGGCCAGTATGTGCAACGCGATGGTACAGATATATCCATTTTTTAGAGTTACGTAACAGGATACAGCTAAATCTATCAGGTTTGTCAATACCTTAGCGGTCAGCGAGAATTGGACAAGGCAGGGACGAGACGCAGGAATGCTTTGAGGCCACCGTGTTTAACGTGAGAAACCAAGAAATGCCAAACAGCTAAATGAGAGAGGCATCTCGCAATGTAAGTAATACATCATTCGCTGTCAGGACAACTAGGAGATCGGCAATAAAACCGCTACTCAAATCGGATAACAAGCACGTACACCTGTTCTCGTCTAGCGAGATTAATGAAATGTTTTGCAACCGGTACGTTTGGTCTGACGTGAAGCAATGCATCATGAACCTGTGCTAATGTAACAGCTTCTCGGTGGATGATGGCATGAGATGATGCATCGGTAAGAACCATGAGTCCACGTAGCATCTCAAACATTCGTGCGATAATAACACGGTCGGCTCGCAACCGAATTATTTGTGCAGCTGCCTGCTGCCAAAATCCCAGCCCTTTGAACAGTTGGCCGAGGCTGGCTCACATTCTGCTCCTTTTTTCATTGAGCTGACGTGAAGTCCTGGAAGCGACGCGTGCAGCCCGATTGCGTGCCTATTGGTGCAGCCGGTAATTGGCTTGCTGCAGGTGATTTTCGTGCGGCTGTCGCTAACGCGACCGGTGTCCGTCACTTCCCGGTCCGATCCTCCGCGCCGCTCAAGGCCTATTCAATTATGACACGTCAATTAGTTTTTGCGCCAAAGGAGCTTCAAAACGTGATAACAGGCAAGTTAGCAGAGCCCGACAGTAGAATGAGGGGAAGCGAGAAACGTCAAACCTGCGGCAAATTACCTTCCGAGTAAGACCCACGCCCCACAGGCAGCCTGGTTCGAGGCGTCTTCAGAAAGCCAAACAGAAAGCTGCATAAGGCACAACAAAACACATCGTAGTGTCGCAGATTCTCAGAAATGGCTCGATCAATGTCATTGGAGCATTATGCAATCGTTTCTGTCTAAGGTCGACCTTTGATGAATTGTAACGACGGTATCATGTCCCGTCTGGATCTGCTACGTCTCCAGTCAACGACGGACACCACACACGGAACTCATACTCGACAATATGCCCCAGTCCTGCTCTCCTATAGTCTGGCCGTCCAGCCTGGCGTGGCTGCGGAGGCCACCGGCCGGCTGGGACTGCCCGAGGCTCCTCTCGCGCTGTGTGTGATTTTCTGACACCTCTGCTGCCTCCGGCCCGCCGTTTCCCAGTCAGCCTTAGCGTGATCGTTACGTGCCCCCAGGCGCGGAACGGCCGACAGTTCAGACAGGCTGGGTCGACAGGACGGGAGAGACAAGCCGCCGAGATGGAAACGGAAACGGAGAGGGAGAAGGAGACGGAAACAGAGACGAAAACGGAAAGGAAGACGGATACTTCACAGAGATGAAGATAGAGACGAGGAGCAAGACTAGAGCCGTAGACGCAAACAAGAAGTTCCTATTGAAAGATATTGCAACAATAATTGACAACTAACTGACCTGTAATAGACTATAGCCACACGCGCACAGGTATGTAGATTTGACTTCCCTGACGTCATCCGCACGGTTCACAAGGCACATGTTCTAAGGATAGGAGCAAACATAGCCAAAACGACTGACCGTCACTTATGATCACCATCTTGACAATAAAAACAAACATGGACAAACAACAGACAGTGGTGATTTAACGATAGGCGATGGATGACATGTAGACGGAGCTCAGAGGTAAACGCGAAGAGCCAAATGTAAAAACCGCTCAAAACTGTAGCTGCAGAAAACAAGCCCTCAGCAACAGAGTGAAGACGGCCACCTCGACCATAACTCTACAGCAGAAGACAGACCAGACCACACGTCTCCTCACCAGTTGCCCCCTCAACAAGACGGAGAAGACAGACGAGGGAGCAGACCACTAACCAGACCGAACGAGGGAATGCAACACGCAAACCTACTCAGCCGGAGAGTGGCGCGCGACAGCACCGACCAATGAACGAGCCGTTGATCCTAGCGTCACGTCACGAGACTTTCAGCCGTGACAGCCGACCCGAGCACTCCGCCGAGTGTCCAGAGTGTCTGATCACCCGAGTGCCTGAGTGGCTGTGTGTCCGGCGTCCGCCCCAATGAGGGCCCGGTGACTTTATGCGTCATGAGCCGTGTAATGCCGAACAAGAAGCGCCGAGCGGCGCCGCCGGACCAGCCGTTAGATAAAATCAGCAGTGACGACATTAGACACCATGGCGGTTCCACGACGGAGACAGTTGAGGCGCGTCGCAGAGACAGACGTGGCGCGCTGGGACAAAGTGGAGCGGCCAATACGGCGCCCGGCTGAGGAATCAACTCAGAGGCGTGTGCTGTCTTTGCCTGGGGGCTACAGGAAAGGACTGTGTCTTCTAAATCGATAAGTGGATAAAGACGGGATAGTAAATGTGTCAATATTTGTCAATTTGCGATAAATATGTGAATTAAATATGTGATTATCACCGCTGAGTAATCGTTCTGAGAAGGTTCAAAAATTTCCTTTGAGTGTCGATTAGCGGATTAAAAAAAAAAAAAATAGCAAACGCAATGACGACTGTAAATGATCCAAGGATAAACAGCCTACGTTGCTTAGGTCGTTTAATATGATTCCTCGACCCCAACCTCGGGCGTCTTATACTCTTCAGGTTTTCATAACTTGAGATGGAATATTTTTCTAGGGCTTTGGCTAGCAACAACTTCATAAGATGAGATTATAAGATCTGGTTCACTCAGCTCGAAGGCCAGGAATGTGCACTGTGAGGCTTCGTGCGGTGGGCCCACACTGAACAGGAGAAATCAACCATGCATTAACAAGATCAGACCGCAGACTACCAGGGCAACGAGATCCCACCACAACGGCGCCAGAGCCTCCGTCGACGGCACCGAAACAAAGGCCACAGCCTAAAGCAACGGGACGCCAGCGGGTCGTGGCCCGGCCAATCTGCTAAAGGTTTCCCTCCGAACTCTCTTCTTCATTTAGCCACATTTCAGCAAGCTTAGTGAAGTCTATGAGAACAGCCAATTAGGACAAAACACGCAAAGTTAATTGCGCCGGTACTCAAGGGTTCACCGGTGTTATCGATGACAATCTGATAGAGCTATAACGGCTCGGTCGGCTCTAATTAGTCCCCCAGTCGGCGGATTAACACCTTTTCCGTGTCGGCTCATAGCAGTGAGGCAGAGCTGGCGTGTTACCGGCTCACGGACTGACGTGGCCGGCTGGACGGGGAAGACTGTGCCGTCCAGTCGGACCAGTACGCGTCTCGGTCAGTGCCGCCGCAGATCAGTGTAAAAACCACTCTGGACGACACATGGCGGCAGCAGCAGACGGCCACCTCAATATCGCATCGCCGGCCCTCTGTACTTCCCACAAACCTGTTCCAATGGAGTGCTGACAATGCGAATATTCACACTAATGTGATGGAAAGAGAAAAAGACTGACTATCTGGCTGGTGGCAGCCTTTTAGGAATAGTTGGATTGGATACAATGCTCCAATTTTTAGGAGGGCGGCAATCGGTCACTGACGCATAAAATTATTTTAAGCATGAATGGAAATACAGCATAATAGGCGCTGGATCCTATACTCGCCATGATCCTCAGCCGCCCATACTGTAGGACAGCTCACCGGCTGCCACTACTGACACACTTCCCAACCGGCTGCCGCCAGTCAACTCCACAAAGAACTCGGACAAAACAGATTAGCGCCGACGAGCGCCGCCAATGCCAGCCAGAAAGCGGCCGGTTCCGGCTTCTTAAAAAGCGGCGATCGGCGCCCATTCAGAGGCAGATATCGACATTCTTCAGAAGCGGCGCCCGTGGCTGCGGCCGCGGCGGCGCGCGAGCATTCAGGGGCGCCCACAGCGCGCCACGGCCCGACCGGCACGACCTCCATCCCGCAGCTTTTCTAAATATTTCTCCTCGCTTTCAGGCACCGGCGCTGCCCAATAAAGCCCGTTATTGAAGATCCAGAGAGCTAATGGCTCACTAATGACCACTATATGCACGCCTCTCGGTGACTAATTAATTGATAACATCTGCCAATTTGTCAAAGTCGTTTGGGGTTCCACTGAAGCGCTCAAAGACGTCTGCCGCGGCACCGGCTCGCCGCAAATCACCAGCCTTGGGGTTCACAGACTGCTCCTCAATAGCGGCCCGCACAGTGCACACTCAGCGCGCTGCAACGGTGGCGCCCACGCCGGTCCGTAATGAGCTCGGCACAACGTTTGTATAATTGCATGCAGATTGATATCAATCTCGTACATGCAGATTCCGGACCCTTTCAAATCGCCTCAAAATCGGCATGTAGACCAAACAGGACACGCTGATCACGAATCCGAAGTCCGTTCCGCGGCACATATGAAACTTTTCCCGTAATTGACGAATTACGGATCGGCATGCAGATTCCGGACCCTTTCAAATCGCCTCAAAATCGGCATGTAGACCAAACAGGACACGCTGATCACGAATCCGAAGTCCGCTCCGCGGCACATATGAGTCTTTTCCCGTAATTGACGAACTACGGATCGGCATGCAGTTTCCGGACCCTTTCAAATCGCCTCAAAATCAGCATGTAGACCAAACAGGACACGCTGATCACGAATCTGAAGTCCGTTCCGCGGCACATATGAAACTTTTCCCGTAATTGACGAATTACGGATCTGCATGCAGATTCCGGAACCTTTCAAATCGCCTCAAAATCGGCATGTAGACCAAACAGGACACGCTGATCACGAATCCGAAGTCCGTTCCGCGGCACATATGAAACTTTTCCCGTAATTGACGAATTACGGATCTGCATGCAGATTCCGGACCCTTTCAA